TAAACGCATTTATTCCCCACACGCTTTATTTTAATTGCATCGTCATGTTTTCATACATTTTGAAATTGTTTCCAACATTTCTCCACTTGTTTATTATAGTCATAGTTTCTCCGAGTCAGATGTTGGAAGGCAAGCAAAACCGTTGGATAAGCTTAGTACATTCTGACTTATATCACTGAACATTATAATTGCAAACAAAATATATATTCATTATATCATTAAAGCACGTGTGCGGTCGTGTGTCATTCGGATATGGCCATTATGAAAGGCTAGGAAGTAACCCATTTTCGACTGCCCCCAAAAACATGCGTGACGCGGTTTCAAAGAGTATAAAGGCAGGAGTTATGAAGATAAGGATTCGCCCTCTCCTTACGATCAATCCTGCTTGAAATCGATCTTTGTGATGTGCAGTAGAACTGTAGCGTTGCAATTAATCGGAATACCCTACTTCGCGGATAATAGTGAGTGTATAGTAAAATTACTCACATGGTTGCGTCATCTCTGATTTGGGCGATATGTTTACAACCGCGCCCACACCGATCATCGATTTTATATGAAAATTGGGATGCCCCGACGCTCTCGACCATGTTACCCTAGGGTCGGTCCCAACGAGCCCGCCAAAAATAACCATCCACGTCCGCATCGAGGTGGGTTGTGTTGTGTATCATGGGGGTTATGCGGAGAGTCACTACACAACTGGAGTGGACTATGAAGGAGGGCACGGGGTTGTGCAAGTGATCGTAGCGCTCTGCTAGCGTTCTTACTGCTTGCTATGTTCACTGAGAAGTTTGGCAAGAATTCCACTAAGGAAAGAACAACTTGCAATAACAAAGTTGATAGGAAAAGAATAGAGTACAATTGAGGCATGCAGAACAAAAGACTAGAATGGCATGGAACTCCTAGCAAGGGCGAAATCTGCCAGCGCAGCAGAAGAGCGGCTTGCCAACGCTGCAGCAGAGTGGTCTGCCAGCGTTGCACTGCACGCGGTCTGCCAGCACTGCAGTCGCAGGTGACTATCTGCAATCGCAGGTAACTTTCTACGGTCGCAGGTTGTCTATCTGCGCAGATGTGCGCACCTACCAAGTAGGTGCAGGTTGGCGGTTTCACCGTCAGGCACATTGCGCAGGTGCCAGGTAGAAAACGTGTCGTCGGTTTCGCCAGGTGCGCACCGTCGACCACGTGATGCCGTTCCGCAGGTAGAACTTTGCCAAAATCTCCTGGGCGAAAGTTCGCACGCCTCCGCAGAGTTTCGCACAACTCTGCAACTTCGGTCGATCAGCTCGACTCTGCTCGGTCGAACAGTGTTCGTCGAGCAGAGCTTCTCGACCAGAACTCTTCGACCAGAGTTCTTCGACCAGCGCTCTGTGGAGATTAACTCTACAATGGTGGGAGCTAGACTATGGGGTGGGCACTGGTTGTAGGAGTGATCATAGCTCTGTCAGAGTTTTCTATGACTTGTGTTTTCACAGGGCAAAACAACAAGAGTTTCACTAAGGAAAGTTGAGAATAACAGAGTTCAGAATGAGCATGCAATGGCAAAGGTTCACTACATCAGATGCAAGGCTTGCTAGCACTCAGGCAGGTCGATCGCCAGCACGACAAAGTTGACGACCTGCCAACGCAGCATCTCCACGGCCCGCCAACGCAGCTTGTGTGCGACTTGCCAACGCTGCAGAATGGCGGCCTGCCAACGCTGCACCCGCGCGGCTTGCCAACGCAGCATCCGCGCGGCTTGCCAACACTGCATCCGTAGGTGATTGTAAGCGCATGTGCAAGCACCTACTTCGCAGGTGCTTGTAGACAGTTATGCACGACGTGCACTGTCAAGTACATTGCGCAGGTTGTCAGCCACATGCTGACTATTGCACCTGATGAGCCACGTCGACCACGTGCTGCCACGTCGGTCGACTTTGCCACAACAGCCTCCACGACGTTCGCACACCTTCGTGCACCTCGTCGGGCAGGTAACTCAGTCAACCAGGTGAAGTCCCTGGCACCTCTGCAGGATGACGACCTTCGTCATCACCGGTTGACGACCTTCGTCGTCGCGGGTCGACGACCTTCGTCGTCGGGGTTCGACGACCTTCGTCGAACATCTTCGTCGGACACCTCGGTTGAGATACTCAAATGTCAGCTCCTGATTGGTCGAAATTAAGGCACATTCGAATTTCTGGCCAAAATTCGCCTGTGCAGTCTCAATGTTGCGCAGGGTCAAACGCGACCCTGCGCAGATGGGCATCCGCGAACTTCTGCACCAGTTACACAACTTGTACATGTGCACGGGAAGACTGTGTTGCACTCGCGGATGCTTCAATTACTCTTGCATGGATTCCCTAGTACACCTCGTGTACAGGCAACCCTCGTACACCCGGAGAAGGTCGGCTGCACCTCCCGCACACCCGACCACAAGTCAATTTGCCCATGCGAGGGCGGGGCCAATTTCCTTCAACACGCTCTTCGACAGGAGACCGTCGCGCAGAGATTGTCGACCAGAGCTCGTCGCGCACAGCTCGTCGACCAGATTCCGTCGAGCAGAGCCTGCTCGACCGCAACTTCCGCCGAACTGCAGAAGCCCATTTCGTCGACCAATCCGTCGCGAACTTCCCGTCGACAGCGAGATCGGCTACGCTCAAGCGAGGGAGGGGCCATTTCCTTCGACAGGTTATGGGTATGCAATACACCCAATACTCAAACAATGTAGTGTTTTGCCTAGTGTCAGAATCCGAGCCACTAGGCCACTGGGATAAGAGGGCTTGTTTCAGTAGCGAGTTCGAGCGCCCATAACTACTGAAGCGAACGCGCATGTAACCCCCTTAGGATCAATTGGGGATCCACAGTGTAGGTATACTGATACCTAGGAACCTATATGAATGATGCTTTGGGTGGCATGCCATGAACGGTAGAATCCAAATCACCCCTTCATGTAACGGAGTGGACCCGGGCCTCAAATTAGGGTCCCCCCATGTAGAAACCCTGATTGACAGTGTTATAAAACAACAAAGGCTTGAAAGATCAATGTTGCCTTTGAAAAAAGCCTAATGCATCAGTGTTCCCCCTAAAAAAAGGTTTTTATGTTAGAAGTCTCTATTTTAAATACTAAGTGAGTAGCAACAACAGAAGCCTTATAAAATACTGCTAAGCTAGCATGCCTCAAGAATCATCATCAGAATCCGTGTCATCATCACTGCCCTTAGCATTTGGTTCCTCCCACTCCTCATCTGCCTCCTTTCCCCTCCGATTGCCTTACCCTTTTTTTGCTAGAGGTGCTGCCACATTGCCAAATGGGCGGTGCTTCTTGTAGCTGCGCCAGATCTGCACCACTTCGTTGTAGTCTGGCTCGTACTCGAGGAGTGACATCGTGATGAGGTCTTCAAGCCAGGCGTCTTTAAGGCTCCCCCGCTGCCACGATTTGATCAGGATCTGGTGGGAAAACCCGCGCTCACACTCCACTGTGCTCAACGGCAGCACGGCGACCGCCACCCAGAGACGCACGAGGTTAGGGTAGCTCGTCGTCCAGTCGCTCGTCTTCAGTATTGTTGTTACCCCGACGTGGAAGCTACGCTCGTTCTTCGGGGCACCTGCGAGTATGGGGAAGAAGGTACTCAGTTCTTTATTGCCCGTCGCTTGTCAATCCCTGCCAGACAAGACAGAAAGGAAGGCAGGGAGAGAGAGTGGATTAAATGGCATGGCATATCCGTGCACAACACTGTTGGAACCGACAAGCATGAGCTTAATATACAATAGAGGTGCACGCAAGGCGCATACCTGGAAGGATGTGGTCCGTCTCTTGTGCCCTGAACAGCGAGACGAGTGTCATGAACCACTCGAGACACCGGTTGTTGCGCTCCACCCTCCCAAGCGACCACTTGTCATCGTCGAGTATGGGACTGGCACTGTAGGGGATGCACACAACTCTTCATCGTCGATGGGTTCGAACGGGATTTTGTCAGGCGGATCAAATGCTGGTGGCTTTCCATTGTTGTTGACTTGTGCTAGGGTTGAAAAAAGAAAATGTAGGCAGTAACCACTTCAGAACAATCAACAGGCTGATGACGTGGCACATCATTGCCATGTTCGCCGTTACTTTCCATGCCGTCATGCGGTTGTGGCATGGATTGAAGCGCGGACGAGATTCATCTAACCTATGGAGGTTTGAAACTAGAAGGGAATGCCAGGGGAAAACCAATGCCACGGCTGACTGCCGCTTGGTACACTAGGAAGAAAGGAGGGTCACCCCTTCCGGATGCAAAGTCTAGAGCAGAATGGGCCCCTCGATGGCAGAAACGGTGGCTGGGGTAGGCGGCATGGATGCATCATCACCTCGAAGTCAAGAGGGATAGGAGCATCAGTGCTTGCCAGCATGGCTCAGACCTAACACGCCGCATGAGCAACCAACGGTGCAAGAAGCCTCGCAGCCTTCCAGCACCAATTTGTTGCCACTTAGCCATTGGCCAACTCTGATGGTTGCGGCGGAACAGCCCAATAGAGTGGGGCGCCGCGCCAACAAAACATCTCTCAACGTGAAGTTGAGGGTGGATTAGTCAGGTAGTCCTCGCCTTGCGGTGCTGGCACTGCGAGAATCTGAAATTCCCTGTAATCGGGGGCAAATCCACTAGGAACAGGTAAGAATCGGTGTACTTGGGGAAAAAAGCCTGAGAAAACAGTGTTGCCTAAGAAAAAAAGGCTGAAAAATCAGTGTCACAAAAATCTGAACTCTGAAAAGTTAGAGTTGGTACAAAAATTTGCCCTGAAAATCAGGAATTTCAGGGGGGGGGGGGGGGGGGGGGGGGGGGGGGGGGAGGGCCTGGATTGGAGTGGACGCAACACCAGATTCATGCTAAAAGTCATACGACATTATCCATATTAGATCAGCAGGAGCTGCCTTGTTGAGATGTCCCACTACCGGCAACGCAGCAAGCTAACGCAGCTCTATGGTACAAGTATTGATATCGAATCGACACTCCATATACTACATGACAAAAGATAAAATATTTTATGGGTTAATCAGAGTCACTGCACGAGCTGTCGTCCGCAAACACTTGAAAGAAGCTGTGAGTTGCACTATGAGCAGCACCCACTCTGTCAGGTTGAGAGAAAATGGGGCTATTGAGCGACGTGTTGCCACGTGATTGGCCGGTGTGCCTGAAGCTAGATATTTTCTCCCCAAGAGCAGCCCCCTGCTTACACAACAAGTGATATAGAAAAGGGAACATGATAAACAAGGATTATATCCATAAATCCCCATAGACCTTAGGTCCAAGGGGATAGGTCTAATTTAAATCGCACTTAATAACGAAGCAGTAATTTCAAAAGTGCAGCTCTGGCGAGTATGCAACGTACCTTTGTCTCTGATGCGAAGCATGCAGTAATGACGGCGGCAAAAACGGGAATGAAGACGAAAAGGAGGATAGCCAATTCCTGCATTGGCAAAAAAACGCCCCCCCGAAGGAAAAGAAATACACACAAAAACCAGATCTGAGATGCCTCAACCAAGAAAAAAGTGAGACTTAAAGGTGAAGAGTACATGAGAATGGAATTATATGTGCAGAACAAGTGGCAAACACATCAAGAAGACATTGGGAACAAGCAGAGAGCACATAAGACGGTTCATGAGGCACCTCAAAAAGTTCAAAGAGAAACACGTGTCCGGTACGGTAAGTGAAGAAGATTTCCCAAGTTGAGCGCGTTTGTGTAAGTACGGCAGAAGGGGGGAAGGGTGTGTACGTGCGCGTGTGTGAGAGTGTCCGCATGTGTGTGAATGTTCGTGTGTGCGTGAGCGTATGTGAGTGTGTGTGTGAGTGTGTGAGTGTGAGCGTGTGTGTGAGTGTGTGAGTGTGAGCATGTGTGTGTTGTGGGGGCACACGGGTAGAAAAAGACCAAAACTGGTAACCACACACAACAAGTAATGAACCAAGCATATATATATATATATATGAAAAAAAGGGGGAAAAAAAAATCACCAGACGTACCCTCTGACTTCCTTCGATCAGCCCGACTGCCACAAACGGACAAAGAAAGCCACCCAGCCTTGCCCATGAGTTTGCCACCCCGAGCCCAGTTGATCTTATCTCGGTCGGGTAAATTTCCGGGGTGTATGCCCAGAGCACCGCAAATGACCCCATAATAGCTGCCCGGGCAGCAAAAAGAAAGATTGTGGTGGGAGTGGGCGGCAAGAGCTGAATCAGGGGCAGCAAAAAAAGCCCTGCTAAGCAGAGGAGAACCCAGAGTACGGTCTTTCGGCCAAAAATTTCGACCCCGGTCAGGGCGATGAGAAGACCGGGCAGCTCTGCAGCTGAAGTGATAAAAACATTTGAATATGTCTGGGAGGAGATCTCAGGTTGATTTTCAGGTGTGCACCCAGGTATGGGAGACGAGGAATAGGGTGAAGGGGAATACACGGAAGATGAGGTGGAGGAGGAGGAGGAGGAGGAGGAGGGGAGTGAGTGGAGGAGGAATTATCTGTGGTGGAGGTATCTTGTCGTTGGGTCAAAGCCAAGGAACGACGAAGAGATTGCTGACTGGATGTGCTAGGGCCGAGAAGAGGAGGATGAGGAGGGGAGTGAGTAGATGAGAAATTATCTGTGGAGGAGGTATCTTGTCGTTGGGTCAAAGCCAAGGAACGACGAGGAGAGGGAAGCCATTGTCGAAGGTTGGGTGAGGTGAGGCCGGGAAGAGGAGGGGGAGGAGGGGAAGGAGGAAGGGGAGGGAGTGCTACTGGCACGGTAGGAATGAGATGGTGCTGCTGCTCCTGCTGCTGTTCATCCAGCAAGTTTCTGGAGGGGACATGTGACTTTTGAGTCGACTTTTGAGACGTCTCAAAAGGGACATGTGACTTTTGAGTCGACTCAAATCGCATGGAGGGAATGAGTTGCTGCTGATCATCGAGTAGACCTCTGGAGGGAACAGGGGAAGAGCCATGGGAAGGTGATGCCTTTTCTCCGGCTGCTGCTGCCGTTGCTGCTGTTGAAGCAGATGCTGCTCCTACTTCTGCTGCTCCTCCTGCTCCTTCTGCTCCTCCTGTTGCTGCTACTCCTGCTGCGGCTGCTCCTGCTGCAGCTGCTGCTCCTGCTGCTGATGCTGCTGCTGCTACTTCCGCTGCTGCTCCTCCTACGGTGGTGGGTTGACTGGTCAATTGAGTTGTCGGGTGAGTGGTGGCTTGAGACGAGAGCTGAGTGGTGAGCAAAACGAGTCCATAGTAGGAGAAGGCAGAGGCAAAAAAGAGCAGCCAGACGATGAGAGTGGAGCGGAGAAGGGAGGGCGAAAGGAGGCTCGCGAGTTTGTGGAGAGAGGAGGAGGAGGAAGAGGGGCGGGAATCCGGGTGGGAATGTTGGTGGTGCTGATGGTGATGTGGGTGGGGGTGGGGATAGGGATGGGGATGGGGATGGTGCTGCTGCAGCAGCTGATTTTTGGAATGTGAGTTGTGTTGACTGTTTTGCTCTCTGTCAGTTGAGTCGGCTGGTAGTGGTTGTGATGGGAGAGGCGAGGAAGAGGAGGCGGAAGAGGAAGAGAAAGACAGAGAACAAGGGGGGCTAGATGTGCTAGTGCTTTGGGGTGTCTTTCCATGGAGCACTGTGCTTCCAAGTGCTGTGTGTTGGAGTATTGCCGTTTGGGATGTTTGGGAGCAAGAGGGTTGAGAGGGCATAGAAGGGCCGACATCAACAGTCAAGTTTAAGGAGGTATCGTTGGGAGAGAGAGGCGTGGAGGAATAACGAGAATGAGAGGAGGGGTGAGATACGTATGAGGAGGAGTAGACAGGGTAGTAAGAGGACGAGTGGGAGGAATGGTGTTTTGTAATGGAGGGTGGAGGAGAGGAGGAGGTGGCATGGGCGGGAGAAGGAGAGGAGGGGCGTGGTGATGCCAGTAGCTTGGGGCCGGATGCTGCCGAAACCAGCCGTCCAGGCGGCAGGCGCTTGCCATTGGTTCGGGCGGCTTTTTCTAGAACTATGTGTGCTGCTGACGCGTTGCCTTTGAGCTGAAAAGGGAGAAAGAGGAGGAGAGAGAGGGGGGGAGAAAAGGGAGAAAGAGGAGGAGAGGAGGGGCGTGGTGATGACAGTAGCCCAGGCGGCAGGCGCTTGCTCTTGGTTCGGGCGGCTTTTTCTAGAACTATGTGTGCTGCTGACGTGCTGCCTTTGAGCTGAATGGACAGGGAAGAGCAGGGAGAAGAGAGAGGGTTGGGAGGGGGAACGGATGCTGTTGAAACTAGCCGTCCGGGTGGCAGGCGCTTGCCGTTGGTTCGCGCGGCTTTTTCTAGGACTATGTGTGCTGCTGACGTGCTGCCTTTGAGCTGATTGGAATTGGGAGGAAGAGGAGAGAGAGGGTGGGGAGAGAAAGAGCGGGATGGGAAGAGAGAGAGGGGGCAAGCGAAAAGGAGGATGGAGAGGATCGGGTGTGGTGATGCCAGTAGCTTTGGATCAGATGCTGTTGAAATCAGCCGCCTGGGCGGCAGGTGCTTGCCGTTGGTTCGGGCGGCTCTTTCTAGAACTATGTGTGCTGCTGACGTGTTGCCTTTGAGCTGAATGGAATGGGAAGAGCGGGGAGAAGAGAGAGGGTTAGGAGGGCAGGAGAGGAAGGGGAGGTGAGAATGGGGCAGGATTAAGAAGGCAAGGGAACATGAGTAAAGGGACGAGAGAACGGAAGGAAGGGGTAGGAGAGGTCGAAACTAGCTGCCCGGGTGGCAGGCACTTGCCGTTGGTTCGAGCGGCTCTTTCTAGAACTATGTGTGCTGCTGACGTGTTGCCTTTGAGCTGATTGGAAAGGGAAGAGCAAAGAGAAGAGAGAGGGTTGGGAGGGAAAGCGAGGAAAGGGAGAAGTGAGGGGGTGAGAAAGGGGCAGGATAAAGAAGGCAAGGTAACGTGAGTTAAAGAGTAGGGGAGAAGACAAGAAAACGGGAGGAGTGGGAGGAGAGGTAGGGCAAGGAGAAGAGAGGAACGAGAAGAGAACAAGGACGAGAGGAAATGAGGAAGGACAAGGGAAAACAAAGGGAGAGAGAGGATGGTGACGTGTGGAGGGCTGCTAAGATTATATTTGAGTGAATAAAAGAAAATGAGCAAGCTTATTTCTAGGAGGCAAAGAGAAGAGGAGCACAGGGGCATGGGAAAGACGGGAAGCAGAGAGGAGAGAGGCGAGAGGAGATACGGAAGAATGGTGTTGGGTTGGGTTGGGTTGGGCTGGGTTGGGTTGGGTTGGGGTAGAACAGAAGCATGAGAGCAACAAGTGTGGTGGACACACGGTGAAGCTTGCAGACCCACTCACACACACTCACTCGCCCACTCACACACACTCGCCCACCCACACACACTCGCCCACCCACACACTCACCCACCCACACACTCGCCCACCCACACACTCACCCACCCACACACTCACCCACCCACCCACCCACACACTCGCCCACCCACCCACCCACACACTCGCCCACCCACCCACACACTCACCAACCCATCCACACACTCACCCACCCACCCACACACTCACCCACCCACCCACACACTCACTCACCCACTCACACACTCACCCACCCACCCACACACTCACCCACCCACCCACACACTCACCCACCCACCCACACACTCACCCACCCACCCACACACTCACCCACTCACTCACCCACCCACCCACACACTCACCCACCCACCCATACACTCACCCACCCACCCACACACTCACTCACCCACCCACACACTCACCCACCCACTCACTCACCCACCCACACACTCACTCACCCACCCACACACTCACTCACCCACCCACACACTCACTCGCCCACCCACCCACACACTCACCCACCCACTCACACACTATGTTGGAATATACGCGTTTAGTGTATATACGCGTATCGTATATACGCTATCGTGTATACACTATACGCTCAGGGGTCAGTTTGGACATACGCCTTTTCGGGCAGGGGAAAAAATTTAGTGGGCAGGGTGAAAAAACCGTCATTCGTCGGGAAGATATTTCCTATTCTAACTAAGTTTTCCGTAGCATTTTCCTAAATCTGAACGGCGATTGGGGTGGGATGTGTAGTAAACATCTTCGCTAGGAGGAGCAGGAATCGGAATGACCTCTGTTGGAAGCAGGAAAGAAACCTAGAAATGACGAGTGAAGTTGGGCTGGCTGGTAAGTAGCGTGGGGTTTGTTGGGGGGAAAATTGACAGGTTGGAGTTCGTAGATGGGAAGGTTTTCAATGCGGTACTAATTGAAATTGTAGATCTGAACTGCCAGACGTGACTGATAACTTTGAAGGCAGATTCCCGCTTCCCTAGACCACCGTAATGCATCGCGACTTCGGCGAAATGCTCACCAGGAGATTCCGCATCTTTCCGTATGCACAAATTTTTTTCCTCGGGCAGCCCGAAAAAAATCTGACTGCGTATAGCGTATGAGTAAGCGTATAGCGTTTTGAGTATAAACGCAAGTGTGTAAACGCTAGACGCTTTAGGGTCTGAGTGTATATTCCAACATAGCTCACACACACTCACCCACCCACCCACACACTCACCAACCCATCCACACACTCACCCACCCACCCACACACTCACCCACCCACCCACACACTCACCCACCCACCCACACACTCACCCACCCACCCACACACTCACCCACCCACACACTCACCCACCCACTCACACACTCACCCACCCACCCACACACTCACCAACCCATCCACACACTCACCCACCCACCCACACACTCACCCACCCACCCACACACTCACCAACCCATCCACACACTCACCCACCCACCCACACACTCACCCACCCACCCACACACTCACCAACCCATCCACACACTCACCCACCCACCCACACACTCACCCACCCACCCACCCACCCACCCACCCACCCGAACACTTTACCACCCACCCATAGCTTGTACTGACCAGGAGAAACCGAGGCGATTCGGGAAGGAAGGGGTACAGCAGCAGCAGGAGAGCAAAGGGTGTAGCAGAGAGGAGAACTAGCATCCTGGAGAGAAGGCACGTGGAGAGGGAGGGAGGGATACAAGACGAGACGGAGGGAGGGTGGAGAAAAGAGGAGAGTGAGGGAGGCGAGGCAGGAAGAGGAGATATTGTAACTTTGAAAGGGGGGTGAGTGAGTAAGGAAGGAAGGGGTAGCACAGCAGCAAGAGTGCAAAGGGCGTACTAGAGAGGAGCATTAGTGCTTTGGGATGGAGGCAAGAGGTGGGAGCGGCAGGGAGGGGAATTGATGGGCACCGAGGGTAAGGGAGGGAGAGGGAGGGGCAGAGAGGGGCAGGGAGTGGCAGGGAGCAGCCGGGAGGGGCTGGGAGGGGCCGGGAGGAGTACCAAGGGGTAAAATAGTAAAAGAGCACTAGGTGGGCGAGTCAGGAATTTTCCACGAACTCTCAAAACAGGGCAACAGAACTACACAGAGTATGAAGCAGGTTCAGTGATTTTCCATACCTCCAGTGTAGGCTCGGCATGACCGCCCAAGCAAGTGCAGCCTCTATTAGCGAACCAATCTGGAAGAATAGGTGGGAGGCTCGAGGAAAGGCAAGCAGCATGAAGCATGGTGAGTGAGAGGCTCGAGGCATGGGGGAGGAACGGAGAGAGGAGCAGGAGAGAGGAGCAGGAGAGTCAAAAGACCAAAGACGATGTAAGTGAGATGGAAGAAGGTGGGAGGCGAGGCACAGTGCCAAAACAATTGCTTGCTTACCATGTGACCAGTGACACTTAAGATGCAATCAGCTCTAAGCATGTCACTTACCGTCCAGAAGAACTCGATAAACACGAGCCAGAAACCCCGGGAGTTGGAGGGAAGGAATTCGGAGCAGAGAGAAAAGACCACTGATGCACCCCCGATACCGAACCCCACGAGGCAGCGCGAGACGAGGAGAGTGAGGAAGGTGGGCGACCATGCACTGTGTGGTGGAGGGAAGAGGAGACACTGTGAGTCACAGGGGAGGGGAGGATGCAAGAAGGCACTATCGCCAACCCGTAAATCTTCTACTTTCACTGAATTTGACAACTTCAGCAACTTGACCGAACCCCACGAGGCAGCGAGAAACGAGGAGAGTGAGGAACGTGGGCGACCATGCACTGTGTGTGAAGTGCGTTGTGAAGGCCCAGGGGAGGGGGAGTGGGAGGGGGGAAACTTAGAGCAGAGTGAGAAGACCACCGATGCTCCCCCGATGCCAAACCCCACGAGGCAGCGAGAGATGAGGAGAGTGAGGAACGTGGGCGACCATGCACTGTGTGTGAGGTGTGGGGGAAGCGGGGATGAGAATGATGAGGTGGGAAGGATACACGATGGTGTAATGTGAGGTGGGAAACCACACACTGTGTGTGTGGTGTTGGGAAGAGAATCGTGAAGGAAAAGAGGGTTAGAGGAACGAGAAGGATACAAGGAAGGGTGAATAAGAGGACACATGGATGGATACATACGCGGCGTCCGCTTGGTTTAGGGAGAAGGCTTGCTGGGAGAAGAAGAGCAAGAAGCGAGGAGGGGAATAAACAGTCAGGATTGAAAGAAATCAGAAACGCCTTATGATGCACTTCCAGCCCATTGAGATCAGAACGGAACAGAATTCTAGACGAATCACCTGAATCAACCATCTGGAAAAACACCTGAAGAATCACCTGAGCAAGCCAGCGAAGAGAGTGAAGAGAGCGGTGGCCATGAACCCCCTCCTTCTCCCATAGGCATCTGCCACGAGCCCCCACACATAGGAGCCCCTGTTATAGCCGATAGCAGATGGATGGATGGGAGGAAGAGAGAGAAAAGGCGGTTGGATTGAGGAGATTGAATTGGTTGAAGGGAGCAGTGGCCATAAACCCCCTCCTTCTCCCATAGGCATCTGCCACGAGCCCCCACACATAGGAGCCCCTGACATGAACAGATGGAAGGTAGGTAAAAAAAGATGGATGGGAGAGAGGAAGAGAAACACGAGGCGGTTGATTGGGAAGTGAAGAGAGCAGTGGCCATGAACCCTCTCCTTCTCCCATAGGCATCTGCCACAAGTCCCCACACGTACGAGCCCCTGATATGGACAGACAGAAGACGAGTGGATTGGAGGAAGGGAGAGGAGAGGCGGTTGGATTGAGGTGTTTGAAATGAAGAGAGCAGTAACCATGAACCCTCTCCTCCTTCCATAGGCATCTGCCACAAGTCCCCACACATAGGAGCCCCTGATATGGACAGATGGAAGGTGGGAGATATGAGACGGATGGGAAGGGAGGAAGAGAAACACGAGGCAACTGAGTTGAAGAGAGCAGTGGCCATGAACCCTCTCCTTCTCCCATAGGCATCTGCCACAAGTCCCCACACATAGGAGCCCCTGATATGGACAGATGGAAGGTGGGAGATATGAGACGGATGGGAAGGGAGGAAGAGAAACACGAGGCAACTGAGTTGAAGAGAGCAGTGGCCAAGAACCCTCTCCTTCTCCCATAGGCATCTGCCACGAGCCCCCACACGTACGCGCCCCTGGTATGACAGACAGACAGCAGATGGATGGAAGGGAGGAAGAGAGACGAGCAGCGGTTGTATTGAGTTGAGACAACTGAATGGAGGAGAGCAGTGGCCCCTCCTCCTGCCATAGGCATCTGCCACGAGGCCCCACACATAGGAGCCCCTGTTATAGCCGATAGCAGATGGATGGATGGGAGGAAGAGAGAGAAAAGGCGGTTGAATTGAGGAGATTGAATTGGTTGAAGAGAGCAGTGGCCATGAACCCCCTCCTCCTTCCATAGGCATCTGCCACAAGCCCCCACACGTACGAGCCCCTGCCACAGGCAGATGGAAGGTGGGTAAAAGTAGAGGAATGGGGGAGAGGAAGAGAAACACGAGGCGGTTGAACTGAATGTGAAGAGAGCAGTGGCCATGAACCCCCTCCTCCTTCCATAGGCACCTGCGACAAGTCCCCACACATACGAGCCCCTGCCATGGACAGAAGCACGAGGCGGTTGAACTGAATGTGAAGAGAGCAGCAGTGGCATGAACCCCCTCCTTCTCCCATAGGCATCTGCCACGAGCCCCCACACATAGGAGCCCCTGGCATGGCGAATGCAATCATACAAGGAAAGAGGGATGGATGTAATGAGTGCAAGGGAGGAGATGATATGAGAGGTGGTGGAATTGAAGAGAGCAGTGGGCGTGAACCCCCTCCACCTTCCATATGCATCTGCCACGAGCCCCCACACATAGGAGCCCCTGGCAGGTGAAAGATGGAAAAAAGGAGGTGGATGGTAAGGGAAACAAGAGGTGGTTGAATGTAAGAGAGCAGTGACCATGGCTTGAATGAACCCCCTCCTTCTGCCATAGGCATTTGCCACGAGCCCCCACACGTAGGAGCCCTGATATGGGCAGACAGATGGTGAGTGCATGGGAGAAGAGAGACGAGAGGTGGTTGAATGAATCGAAGAGAGCAGTATCCATGGCGTGAACTCTCTCCTTCTGCCATAGGCATCTGCCACAAGTCCCCACACATAGCAGACACATGACGGATGGACGGTGAGAAGGAGAGAAGGAGAGACGGAGAGGAAGTTGAGATGAAGCGAACACTGGTTGTGTTTCCTAAAAGGAGAGGAAAACAGATTAGAGATTTCTCAAGAACACCCTGCTATTCTTAAACCACAACGCACAGGGAGTGTTTCCTGAAAAAAGGGGAAGATTGCATAGAGAGATATATTTCCCTCCAAAACAACATTTTTATTCAAAGAGAAGGCAACACGACACTTCTACCCTGCTGAAACGGTTGTAGTCACAAATGGGAGTGGGTCACATCAATGGGTACTTGCAATGAGTGGGTCAGTAAAAAACCCAGAAACACCACACTTGCAATGAGGCTCTCTTCTGCTGCTGAGAGAATTATCATTGTAACAAACGAAAGAGACTATAACACTGAGTCAGCTGAAAGGGCACTTACAGAAATACACCCGCCCAGAAGCACTGCGCTCGCAATCAGGCTCTCCCCAGCTGCTTATGCACCTACTGTGGTTACGAGTCAGACTGTACTGAATCAGCTGAGAGGGCACTTACAGAAATACACCCAGAAACACCACACTTGCAATCAGGCTCTCTTCGGCTGCTGAGAGACCAAACTCACACCGTGCCTTGCAGGGAGGACGGATGGGAACATGCACGGAATGAAAAAGGGCACGGGGAGAAACAGCGCATAGGAGGGATGAGAAGGCAGGGCAGGGAAGAGAGGCCATAACGGAGCATTGACCTGTCTTGGTGGTGGTGTAGGTGAACAGCGTAAGAAGTTTCGAGACGTCTAAAAGGTTCTGAGGGACCGAACTCACACTGTGCCTGGTGGGAAGAATGTGAGGTGCGTGTGATGAAACAAGGCAGGGAGGGAATGGATGAATCAGGCACGAGAGGGAAGAGAAGTCAGGGGGGAAGGCAGAGAACCAGAATAAGCAACAAGCCAAGCTACGCCCACCAGCTTGGAGACGTCTAAAAGATTGAAAACACCCTGATCCTCTCTAACCACCTATACAGGAATGCAAGCCAGCTTGAACTCACTGCGGGCCCCACAAAGGAGAGCAGAATCATCTCCATGGCATCAGCAAGCCAGGCGAGGCACATTTACGTGCATATATGAACATCGAGTAACATAATGAGGCGAAAATTACTCACCGCTGGCCCAACGAAGGAGAGCAGAATCATCTCCATGGCGTCAGCAAGCCACGCAAGGCCAGTGTAGCACACAAGGAAGAGCTGGTAGGGGCCGAAACCTGGTGGGGGATGAAGGAGAGGGACTCTTTTGAAGCCAGGCAGGGCCAGTGTAGCACACGAGGAACAGCCGGTAGGGGCCGAAAACTGGTGGGGGATGAAGGAGAGGGACTCTTTTGAAGCCAGGCAGGGCCAGTGTAGCACACGAGGAACAGCCGGTAGGGGCCGAAAACTGGTGGAGGGGGGGGAATAGGCGAGCCAGTAAGAGGATAGGGGAGAAGTGCAGATGCGACTGTTGAGCTGAATAAAAGGACAGGCCAGCACACGAGGAAGGGCTGGTAGAGGACGAAGCCTGGTGGAGGGGTGGAATAGGCGAGCCAGTAAGAGGAAGGGAAGAAGTGCAGATGCGACTGTTGAGCCGAATCAAAGGGACAGGCCAGGCCAGTGTAGCCCACAAGGAAAAGCTGGTAGGGACCTTAGCCTGGAGAGAAGGGAAGGAGGAAAAGAGGAAGGGAATGGGCGAGAGGTGCGACAGACAGGCGTGGAAATGAAACTGGAAAGTGTAATGCACCTTGTAACTGGGCGTCGTCAACCGGCAGCACCTTGTCTGCATCTCCATCCTGGAGCGAGATTTCCAAACCCTAATGCAACAGATAGCACGAATTCAACCCAGTTCTGACATTAAGAAGAATCTCACCTATGGAAGCGATGGCGCCGCCAACCGTCAACACCTCATCCGCATCTCCATCCTCAACATCCTCTTCATCTTTTTGAGCATCACGAACAGAAAGATCTCACCTGCGGCGAGGTTTTGAATCCTAAAGAAACAGCTACCGCAGAATTGATTTTCTTTATAACGATGAACGGAAGCTCACCTATGGAGTCAATTGCATCGTCAACCGTCAACACCTCGTCTCCATCTCCATCCTCCTCATCCTCTTCATCCTCCTCATCTTCTTCATCATCATCGTTTTCCGCATCAGCCTCATCAGCAGCATCATGACTGTAACGGTAACGCTCTTCCTGACTGCCATTATTCTCATAAATATCAATCTCATTCCCAACCCGCTCCTCCTGCTCCTCCTGATGCTCCTTCTCCTCCGTGACCTCGCTCTCCCCCCCTTGCTCAGCATCAGCTTCTCTTCTCTCCTCTGCCACGCCTCCCTCCTCCGCTGTCCCTCTCTCGCACATCTCTATCTGGTAACAAACAGGCGTTACGAGGGGTACCCCAAGAAATAGCAGATAAGGAAAGCACAGTGGTCATACGCTGAGGCGTACTGGTAACAAGTAGAGTCAGGATGGGCAAGGGAAACAGACAATGACATCTCAGAAGGTTCAGTTGGGCAAAATGTGATGTGATGACAGCTTAAGACACGGATTGGACAGCACAGTGATGATCAGTTGGGAGCAATTCGATACAATGGGATAGCTACAGTAATAGGGCATGACCAGGGTTCAACTCAGACAATGACAATAAGCGGGAACATTAGAAAGCGATAGCTGGGAGACTGAAACATTAGACAATGTATGGACAGCGATAACCAGAAAAATCCACATAAACCGACAGTGATAAGCTGACTGAAGAGTTATAGAAAAAACAAGCCGGAGTGATCCTTTATATAACATAAGTGACCTGTTTCAATAGTCAACTCGCAAACATCTGACTTACGCAAGTAGTGAAAGAGGGTAAGGAGAGACGTTACTAGGGTTGAATCAGGCTTCGTATATGACACAGACAACCACGGCTCAAAAGCTAAGACTGACAAAACAGGCGAGACGCAGACTTACTAAGTTCCTGTGAAAAATATCTCTTAACTTGCCCCATCTAATTAAACAACTTAAATCTGAGCTCATAATTTGTCTCCAATGCATGAAATGGGTCAACTAAGGGTTCCAGTCCAAGATAAGAACGCGAACAGCAACAGATTCCAGTGCTAAGATTGAAGGGTTCAGTATGCAGAAACGAAGATGTGGAGTGAGAATGGCTGAGTTAAGATGGCGGAGCGAAGCGAAGTAGGAGTCATGCGTACCCAGGGACCAGTCGAGCTCTCAACAGGCCGAAGCATTCCCCTTGCACTGTTTCGCATATGCCTAAAACGCGGACAATTGTCGCGGAGAGTAAAAATCAGCGGGATTCATGCCGATGCTTTTAACGTTCGTTCCAACCGCTCATCGCCCTTCAGCCACGCCGGAACCGTTGAAATGATCGTCAATATAACTTTTGTCGTTGGAATAAGCAATCAATCAATCGCTCGATAATAAGCAGTAGATCAATTGATGATAGCGACAGCTCGGGGTAAGGTTGGGGGGAAATGGTTGAGAAAAGCCGCGGGGCGGAGAAGTAAGGGGGTGTGGGGGAGTGCGCTGGGGAAGGTACGGGGGGAGCAGAAGAGGGGAGATGCGGGGAAGGGGGACGGATTTACCCTGCAGAGGCGGTTGGGAAGCGCTGAGGAGCGGCGTGCGGTCAAAATCTCGCGGAATTACGAATCTGCGACGTCTAGGTTGCCTGGTTTCCTGCTTGGGTTTCACGCGTCGTACGAGGAAATTCGCGCTTTCTAGGTGGCAGATCTGATCGCGTCGCCAGGGACCTGATTGGACGTTGCAATAATCACGAGTCAGACACGCGACGAATCACGAGTCACGATGACGAGGCGAAGCGACACGGAAAGCGTGCCTCGAGAATCGAGATGCACTCGAAAATGTAACCACGCAAGCTACATATGGTCACATGCGGTTTTACATGCTCGTATGCTTACCACGCAACGCGCTCGGCATCATATGCTGCTCGACATGCCCATATGCTACGTAACTCAACATGCTACTGGATATGCACACTTGGGGGAAAAGCAGGAGAGCTATTGCACACCTCCTTTACCATCCTAGGTACTGCCGCCTGTCAATCAGAGCTGCCTCTCGCCGTCACGTCAGCCGCAAACCCGCTCCGCGTTCCCTGTATTCTGCCTATTCCTGTCCAGAAGGCAACCCCGCTCCACTACAGGATGACTCACAACACCGTGGCTATTCGCTGCTCTAGTATACTGCTTCTCGTACCGTAAGTGGTTGGTTGTTTACCCACTACTTGAAACACTAGTGCCGTAGTGCTTCAAACGAGGAAAATGATCATGGAAGCTAATGATACTTTCTTTTGTAGCTTCATTAATGAAAAGAACCTGCATATTTACTATGGAACCTCACAACCAAGCATAACACCAGTAAAAGAAAATGGCACATCAATCCAGTTAGTGCTTCCCTGTTCTCCCCACAACTGGAGTTGGCCCATCCACAAAATAGTCTTGTTTCCGCACATTCACACCATACTGCAAGCAAACATGACAAAAGGTATCACAGCGGAAGGGGCAATATTGGGAAATGGAAACCAATAGACATGGCAACACATAGCAGCAAGGAGAAAGCATATAGGAAAAAACGCGGACAAAAAGCACCAAAGAACAAAGGAATCACCTCTTTCAGTGCAGCAGCGAGGTCCTCTGTAGTGAGTACAAGCTTCTTCTCCTTGGGCCCTTTCGCCTTCATCTCCTTGCTGCTGCCTGCCTGCCGGATCTTGCAGAACCTATAAAGGGAATTGGGGAGGGGAAGCGGGGAAAGAGTTTAAGGGGGAAAGAAACGACATGGACAGCATTTTCTACTACTCGCATCCTAATCCCCACATTGTTATGGGACCTGAAAAATGGTGGGAGGAGGGAGGGATTCCGCGCTAGCCATCAAACATGACTTCCTTGAGTTTCTAAGGAGTGAAGAAAGAAGGTAACGGAGGGAATAGTTCTGGCGCCAAGCGATTAGACATCAAATTCTCGAGTTTTTAAAGAGAGATTGGAGAAAGGTGACTGGAGGGAAAGGTCTGGGTGCACATAAGTTTGATTCTTGAGCGAATCTGCAGCAGAGTTTTAAGAATGATTGTACAGCATTGGTACTATATCTACCATAGTTATATAAATAGATATGACTTTCCAGTCTTACTATTCATGATACCAGGTCTGTAGAGAAATTATTTTACACTTACTGTAGAGCATCACTGGCCACCTCTCCTATGAACTTGTGAGCCGCTGCTGACACAAGGCGAGTGCTGATAGGGATGCATGCAGGGGAAGGGGTGGGAAGGCAGGATGGGGTAGAGTTGAGAAAGCGTCATTGGCCCCCTCCCCTATAAACTTGTGAGCCGCAGCTGAGACAAGGCGAGTGCTGGTAGCGATTCGGGGGAGAAAAAGGGGGAGAGCGCGGGAAAGAATGGAGGAGGTGGAAGAGGGATGGGGGGAGGGGATAGAGGGGGATATGAGGAAGCGGAAGAGTTGAGACAGCATCACTGGCCAACTCCCCTATGAACTTGTGAGGCGCGGCTGACACAAGACGAGCGCTGACAGACATGCATGGAGCGGAAGGGGTGGGAAGAGAGGAAGGGGAAGAGTTTGAGTCAGTGTAACTTGCCACCCCTCCTGTGAACTTGTGAGCTGCAGCTAACCAAGGCAAGTACAGATGGACAAGGACAGAGAGAGGATGGGTGGGAAGCAGATGGCAGCAAGAGACGGAGGGTGGGAGACAGAAAGCGGAGCGAGAGAGGGGACAAGAGGAGGTGGGAGTGAAGCGATAGAAGAGGCATGATATTTATCAAGAAAATACTTCACACTGACCTCCCTCACAGCCTTTAATGCAAGGCGGATTTGTGTTGTTTGTGTGCTTTGAGACACTTACACGTGGATGTTGGGATTTCTGACGCCAGATCTTTGCAGGTAGAGTGCTGCCGATACAAGACGAGTGAAAAAGGGCACGCACAGGGCAAGGCAGCGGCACTGTGCTTCGATGACACTTACAGTGAATGTTGGGGTTTCTAGCGCCAGACCTTTGCAGGTAGTACGCAGTCAGGTCGTCCGGAATGCTTTCAAGTCAGGCTCAACCACACCCCTGACGCTGTGTGGTGTGATACATGTGCTTTTGAGTCACTTACACGTGGACGTTGGGGTTTCTGACGCCAGATCTTTGCAGATAGTACGCAGTGAGGTCGTCAGGAATCTGTGAGGCATGGGAATGGGGAAAGGGAGGAAAGGAGGGAACAGGTTTTGAGGAGTCTCAAAAAGATGGCTGACGCCAGATCTTTGCAGATAGTATGCAGTGAGGTCGTCAGGAATATGAAGGGAGTTGCAACAGGAAAAGGGAGGAAAGGAGGGAAAGGGTTGTGAGGCGTCTCAGAAGGATGACCTTTGTGGCGCCTGGGGTTTCTGACGCCAGATCTTTGCAGGTAGTACGCAGTGAGGTCGTCGGGAATCTGTAAGGAGTGGGAACGGAGAAAAAGAGGGAAAGAGGGACTGGGTTTTGAGACGTCTCAAAGGGATGACTTTTGCAGCGCCTGGGGTTTCTGAAGCCAGACGTTGCAGATAGTATGCAGTGAGGCCGTTGGGAATCTGAAGGGAGTGGGAAGAGGGAATAGGAGAAAAGGAGGGAAACGTAGTAAGAGAAGCAACGGGTTTTGAGGAGCCTCAAAAGAATGACTCCTGAGGTGGCTGCGGGGGTTTCTGACACCAAATCTTTGCAGATAGTAAGCAGTGAGGTCGTCGGGAATCTGAAAGGCTTGGGACCGGGGGAAAGGAGAAGGACGGAAGGTTTTGGGAGTCTCAAAAGGATGACTTTTGCGGCGCCTGGGGTTTCTGACACTGCAGATGTTATGCAGTCAGGTCGTCAGGAATCTGAAGGGAGTGGGAACAGGGAAAAGGAGGAAGGGACAAGGAGAGCGGGTGAGCGAGTCTCAGTGACCAAAGTAATATGCAGTCAGGTCGTCGGGAATCTGAAAGGAGTGGGACCGGGGAAAAGGAGGAAACGACGGAACAGGTCATAGCTCTCCCGAACGATTTAAACCACTGATAGGTTCTCCAAAAAAAATATGTTTTCTTTTTAGCCGCCTTAATGCAATAAGGCATAAGAAGACACTTAAAACGCATTAACACACTAACCAGCGGGTCGTAATTCTGTACATTCCTCAAGAAAAGAAGAAATAAAGCCTTCTTGAAGACGCTTACAACGCATTAACACACTAATCAGAGGATCATAGTTCTCCAGGGAGCGTAAGAGGTCTGTTAGGTCAACACGGGCTGCTTAACAAGCAACTAATAACGAAGATGACGCATCAACGCACTCACCAGAGGATCATAGTTCTCCAGGGAGCGTAAGAGGTCTGTTAGGTTCTCCGGAGGGTGTCCGTCCGACGCCATGGCTATAAGTAGGTCGACACGGACCCGCTAGTCTGGTTAATAGGGAATACAGCGAATCCGCTATCACTAGGTGATGATTCTAGCCGTGAGCCGGGGAGGTACTAACGACGAGGAACCTAGGTTCCCGGATGTTGTTTCTGTTTCCGCTGCGCGTTAGGAATTGGTGGTATCGATGATCGCGGTTCGACTTTTGACCGGAGATAAAGCATTAAGCGGCATGAAACCAAAAGCAATGAGCTAACTTTCCACAGACTGACGTTCGGGCGTGTGTGGCAGGCGAAGCGCGCTGCTAGAGCAGGCCTGTCGAAACGCTCTACAAGCCTGTCGATTTCACGGACATTTGTCTATGCTCAGAGTTTCTCAGGGCTGGTTTTTCCCTAGAACGGATTTCTAACGGAGAGTGGGGGGGGAATCTTTTCACACGGGTCGAAAGAAGTTATTCTGCATCTACCAAATTTTAAAATCGTTTGTAAAGTGCAGAGTGAAATCCCTGGGAGTGGAAAATTTTAAAGGGGATCATATTTTTATAGAAAACGATTTAAAGGGTTGTGGAATCTTCCGACGTTCGACAAACATGTCAATATAATACCTCCTTATAGCATCGTTATTTTTAGAAGAGCCTTCGTAAAGCGGAGTTTTTTAGGATACTGTCCGTCACGCACTTGTACCCATTAAATTACACCTCTTTTTTAAGCATAACCCACCTTCATTGTGATTCCTGGCTTTGATTCCGCTGCAAGCACCACTGTGCCCACCATCATTATGGGGTTCTTAACTACAGTTCCGTGCCCAAACCACGAACCTGTGAAATTCATTTAAGTGCTCCTCCACAAATGCGTTACTAGAGTGTGGGCATCCCTGGGAGATGTAAATTGTATAGTAGAAACATTATAAAAGGGTGTGGAAGATCATCGGATGTTCGACAAACACCGTCACTAAAATACCTCGTTATAGCTCAGTTCTCGGCAGTAGAACCTTCGAATAGTGGAGCCATTTTAAAGATTACCCGTCACGTTCTTTTACCTTTCAAAATGCACCTTCAAATAAATAATAACCCACGTCTTTTTTGGCGTAGCTAGATTCCGCTGCAATTCACGAACCTGTGAAACTCGTTCGTGAAGTGTTTTTCCACAAAAGCGTCCCTGAAGTGTGGGCATCCCTGAGAGGGTAAATTGATAACAGAAACAAGGGTGCGGAAGAGTCTTCGGATGTTCACAAACACCGTCATTAAAATACCTCGTTATAGCTCGATTTTCGACGATAGATCCTTGGTATTAAGGAGCTGTTTCGGATATTACTCGTCAAGAATTGTACCCGCTAAATTACACCTCTTTTGAAAGCATAGCCTACAATTCGAAAGGTGTGGAAGAATCTTCGGATAAGGATTGGAGTCTTCCCAGGGTTTCCTGCGTCACCAGCTCCTCCCCCCAACCCCTCCCCCCTTCTCGAACATATTCTGTGGACAAGCCCACCTCCCCTAACACCCAGCAGCGACCCCCCCCCCATCACCCCCCCGTTTCCCCAGCGTGCTTTGCTCGGCTCTTCTCGCATCCTCGTTTGAAGCGAGAGGGTGCCTCAAACCTCACATGCAGGAGTTTATCATTTTAACTCTCAGCCTGACCGTTCTGGAAACCTTGAAAGCGTTCCCAACCCAACCAATCTGAGCCTTCCTGGAACTCCCTGGCATTGAAGTTATTTGACGGCCTACCGACGCGAATCACGCTTGCAAGAGAATAGAATTTAGCAGTGAGTTATTCCAATCCTGCATGCAGCAGTGACGGCTGCTGCTTCCCAGTGCGTCAGCCGTTGCAGAAGTGCTTAATCGTCACGATTCTCGCCAGAATTCGTCATGGCGGCCGCTCGATGGAGACTTGACGGCCAGACGGCTCTTGTAACGGGCGCGACCAAAGGCATCGGGTAACCACACGACGCGATGATAGTTTCGCTCTCATTCCGTTTGTTCCGTCTCCTTGACACCCTCGTAACCGAATCCGTTCATTTCACACTCTCATGACGGAATCCGTCCGATCAATTCACTCCCTCAAGAGGAATTTCGCCCGCTCCACACCCTCGTGACGGAATCCGTCACTTTTCACTAATTCCGTTGGGTCTATTCTAGATCAAAAGCGTACCCTGGTCATACATGCTGCCGTCCCATTCTTCCCCTTCCCACCTTTCCCCTCCCCGCTCTCCCCCCTACTCTCACCCCTTCCCCCCTCCCCCTCCCCTCCTTTTCCCTACATTCCGCCTCCCTTCCGCCCAACTGTTACGTTATCCCATGAGAACTTGCGTGTCTGGGCGCGCACGTGTTTGTGTCCTCTCGCGTGTTCTCTCGTGTGTCCTTTCATGGCAAGGCTGACTCCTAATGCTGACTCAATTCACATTATTCCCCTCTCCTTCCCCTCCCGCTCCCCCTTGTTCACTCCCTCTACCTCCCCCCACTCTTCCCTGCGCCTCCTTCCCTGCCCATCAGTCGCGCCATTGCCAACGAGCAAGCATCTCTGGGCGCGCACGTTTTCGTGTGCTCATATGTAGCGAGGCTGACTCTTGAATCTGACCCAAACCAAACCAATCGCACCATCCCCCCTCCTCCGCTCCCACCCACCATCCCCCTGTTCCTGCCCTTCCCTGTGCCTCACCCCAGCCCATCAGTCGCGCCATTGCAAACGAGCTAGCATCCCTGGGCGCGCACGTGTTTCCCATCCATCCCCCCCGTTCCCGCTTCCTCCTTTCCCCTCCCCCCACCCCGTTCCCCCATCAGACGCGCCATTGCAAACGAGCTAGCATCCCTGGGCGCGCACGTGTTTCCCATCCATCCCCCCCGTTCCCGCTTCCTCCTTTCCCCTCCCCCCACCCCGTTCCCCCATCAGACGCGCCATTGCAAACGAGCTAGCTTCTCTGAGTGCACACGTCTTTCCCATCCATTTCCCCGTTCCCGCTTCCTCCTTTCCCCTCCCCCCACCCTATTCCCCCATCAGTCGCGCCATTGCAAACGAGCTAGCATCCCTGGGCGCGCACATGTTTCCCATCCATCCCCCCGTTCCCGCTTCCTCCTTTCCCCTCCCCCTTCCCTTTCCCCCCATCAGTCGCGCCATTGCAAACGAGCTAGCTTCTCTGGGCGCGCACGTGTTTGTATGCTCACGTGGCGAGGCTGACGTGGCAGCTACAGTGGCGGAGCTACAGTCGCAGGGGTGGGCGGCGACGGGGTGGGCGTGTGACGTGAAGGAGCCGGAGCAGCGGGAGGTGCTTATATCGAAGGTGTCAGAGACCTTTGGCGGGAAATTGAACCACCTGGTAGGCATAAGTTGGCTTTCTCACCACCGGGAGATGCTTATAACGAAGGTGTCAGAGAACTTTGGCGGGAAATTGAACCACCTGGTACGTAGGCAGGTGGTTGTTTGCGTGCGGTTTTTGAGAAATTGGAGAAAAGACTGCGCGCCTGTCCCTGCATTGGGAGGAAGGTGGGACAGGGTGTGGGCATGTGAGGTGGCAGCTACAGTGGCAAAGCTACAGTCGCTGCATTAGGAGGAAGGTGGAACGGGGTGGGTGTGATGGCAGCCACAGTAGCGGAGAAACAGTTATGACGAGTACCCCTTGCAGACCATACAAGAATCCAGGGGTGCTAGGACGAGTGAACTTTTGAGGCGCCTCAAAAGTGTGATGGCAGCCATAGTAGCGGAGCAACAGTTATGATGCGTTGCAGAGCATACAAGAACTCAGGGGTGCAATGATGAGTGAAGCAAGGCACGGGACAGGAGAGGAGTGCAGCGAGGGGACGCCCCAAGATCTGCCTGTTGGAGCGGCACCCTTTCAGGCCGTGATTAGGGTTGGGAAGGCATCCGTGCGCCAGGGTGTAGGTGGGTGGGATGCCTACTCGACTGGCGCGGAATTCGCATCCAGGGAGAAAGGACTGCACCATGCGAGCATCAGAGGCGTTGTTGATGCTGCTTCTGCTCCAGCCTACCTCGCACCAAAAGGTGGTGTTTATGCAGCAACGACAGAAGAGGAGGAGGAGGAGGAGGAGGAGGAGCTTGCAACAGAGGAACACGTGCTCGCATACTCGTAGCTCTTCATCCCGTAAACCCTCATTCACAAATAGTCCTTCGTGCATTATGGTTACTTGTGGATGAGAGTTTATGGGATGAAGAGCTATGAGTATGCAGGCACATGTTCTTCTGTTGCAAGCTCAGAAGCAGCATTCCTCCTCCTCTTCCGCGTACCACCTCTGCCAACTCGTCCTATTTCCACTCCTAGCCCCTACTGCATACCTCCATTCTTCCTCTTTCCCACACATACGTGGGAACCAACATTCGCAAGCCAACAACCGAGTACTCCCTCTCTGACTTCCACCACGTGTGGGGCACCAACTTTGAGTGCGCCTACCACCTCTGCCAACTCGCCTTATTCTGTCTCCTGTTCCCTACTGCATCCCTCCATCGTTCCCTCTTTCTCACAGATCAATAACGTGGGAACCAACATTCGGAAGCCCACAGTCGAATACTCCCTCTCTGACTTCCACCACGTGTGGGGCACCAACTTTGAGTCCGCTTACCACCTCTGCCAACTCGCGCACCCTCTGCTTAAAGCCGCTGCAGCTGCAGCTGCAGCTGATGGTGCAGCTAAGGGCAATGCGAGCATTGTGTTCAACTCTTCTGTAGCCGGGGTTGTTGCTATTCGCTCAGGCACCCTTTATGGCGCCACCAAAGGTCAGTCACCTTGTTAACTGATACTGGTGCTGCTACTGGAGCTGGCAGTGTCCCAAGGGGCAACACGAGCATTGTGTTCAACTCGTCTGTAGCCGGGGTCATGGCCATCCGCTCAGGCACTCTCTACGGTGCCACAAAGGGTGAGTACCCAACCCAACTCTGAGTCCGCCTATCACACCAACCCAACTCTGAGTCCGCCTATCACACCAACCCAACTCTGAGTCCGCCTATCACACCAACCCAACTCTGAGTCCGCCTATCACACCAACCCAACTCTGAGTCCGCCTATCACAC